ACTCAGATTCTAAAATACACCAATATTGTATCCGTACAGATTTATTTTAGTCTAAGTACCTATCTACCTATCTTTCTAAGTATCATTCTTTAGAAGAAATACAACTACAAATAGTTATAATAAATTAAGATATGCATTGTGACTTGTGACATGAGCCACTTGTGTTCACAACTGAATTTGCATACTTTTTAACATAATAACTAATAATTAATAAATAATAACAATAAACATTTAAACTATTATATAACTTTTTCAATATAACTTATAATATATTTTTATACAAATGTAATAGATTTATAATATTATATTTAATAATGTTAAACAGATACCTACAGTGGCGTATTTACGGGGGGGGGGGGTCCCCGGGTCTGGACCCCCCCAGAAAAAAATATAATATAATATAATTATTACATCGTAACTCGTATGTGTTTTTTTTTATATTATAAACTTGTAGGTACCTAATATTTAGACCCCCCCCCCAGAAAAAAATTTCAAAATACGCCACTGGATACCTATAATATATGGCTATTAGAAAATTATATTTGTAGCCTTGCAAGTGTCTAATTTTTTTCAGAACTTAAATTTAGTGTTGTAGTTACTGTACTGTATTTAAAACTATCATAAGCTGCTAAAAATCTTAATATGACCTAGTCGTTGTTCAGTTAGTATTGTTTCCTCTTTACTGTATCAAATATAGAATCGAAGTAAATCCAAAATATAAACATCGAATTTTAATCATAAAAAATCATAAGTAGTACTACTTTAGAGGACAAATCCAGCCTACATTCTAATGTGTTTCTCCCCAGATTTGGTTTTTATTTCAATAATATTAGTGATCATCAGAAAATTAATTTAGTCATACTTTATGAATAGAAGGGGTTTTTTATAGGCAAATTCAACGCATATTAATGTTTATTAAATAATCAGTTTTTTTTTTAGGAATCATTTATTTAAAAAAAAATGCAATTTAGGCACAGACAAAAGTTTATTTAACACCTGAGTTTATTACTAAATATTATAGTCTATAAATTGCTTAAAATTAAGAAAAATATTGTGTAGCTATATAAAATGACAATATAAACATCTGATGAGGGTTTAAAGATTGACGTGTGTGACGCGTGTATTATTATAATATTATATCTGTATATACAAACTAATAAACTATGGGCAATGGGGTGTCAAAAAAATAATAATATGACTAAACATTTTATTATATTATAAGTTTATGTTATAAATAATATTATAAACATATGTAGAGATGTTCTACAAACGATGGTGAAATCGGTTGTGGTTAGGTACCTATAGAAACCAACCAAGGTAGTTTTATATAGCAAATTGGGGGATGTATTCGATATAAATTATCCGAGCAAGCGCTTGACCCCGGTTGGTCTACACATAATGTGCTGTAAAGTTTGGTTAGATTAAGTAAAAATAACAGACTTGATATAAGTTTAAAACTAAATTTTCTGTGAAGTTGTTGACTTAGGTACCTACACAATACTAATGAGTGACATGGTCTACAATCCATCGGACTATCGGAGGTGGATTGCATACCTAAAAATAAAATAGGGTTCGCATAAAATTATTGTCCACCATCCGACGAAGTCAGATTGCCTACCTATGTGGCTTATTTGTAATTCGGCAAATGTAATTTTTAATTACGGTAAATATTTTGTGTAATGCGAGAATTTGTGGACAAAATTGTGAAATCTCCCTGTAAAATGCAATACGGTAAATTTTTTTGTGTTAGTGTCATATAGGTGGACAACTACTAACTAGTGTACGACCTCCCCGTGATGTGTAATACCTTAAAATTAGTGTCCTCTGAGTGGGACATTAACCCTTGTACATATTGTATGGTGTGATTACCGCTCAGAAAAAAACGAACGTACTGTGAACACTGAACACACAACTACATACTATTCTATTTTGTCGCTCAAAATCCATAAGATTTTTAATATTATTCTTAAAAAAGCAGGTAAGTGGATGTCGCTCTGCTGTACAGTAGGTTACAAATGGTTGAATGTATAATGGATTGTATTAAACTTGAATTCAATGATATAATATCATTGTATAAGAAAAACGATTCTGAGCGGGGACGGTTTTTCAGTCGGGATTTTTTAACTTTTTATTATTTATCATAACCTTCAAGTTGAATTAATATTATAGTATTATAATTTTTTATTCTTTGCTACGGTGATAAACAAATTGTTAGAAATTAAAATCCCATTTTAAGCGGTTTTTTGTAATTTTTCAGTACTTTTTCCCGTGGCATTAAATAACTATTGAGAAAATCGAAAAATGACCTCTCTAAAGTACCATCTTGATCCAATTTGCTAAAAGATAAGGTACTATATTATGTTGAAATCGATGCACTCCTTCTGGTAGAAATTTTGTGTACAGGATACATAAAAAAAAAATAAAAAAAATAAACACCATTGTAAAACCACTAGCTTCCTCGCTCCGCTCAGAACCTAAAATTTCAAACAATATAATATTATCGTATTCATTTTTTACACCTCAATATATAAAAATATGTGTTGAAGGAAACACGTATGCCATAAATAAGTGATTCCCAACCTTTTTTTACTCAACGCCTCTTTTAGATTTTCAAAAATCTCACCCCCCCCCCCCATTTTTTTAATTATTAAATTCTTAAATCTAATAAAACTAAACGCCCCCCAAAAATATAAAGCCCACAATGTACCACCCACGTCGGGAATCACTGCCTTAAATCTTTCGATAAAATACAGTTCCGATGAATTATTTTTCCAACAAAATATTTTTCCTAAAAACATACGGGTCCAACAAAATACTTTCCGGTGAATTATTTTCCGACAAAATACTTTCCGATGAATTATTTTTCCGACAAAATATGGTTCTGGCGAAATACGTTTCCGACAAAATACATTTCTGGTAAAATACTTTTCCGACAAATTACGGTTCAGACAAACCACCTTCAGACAAAATATAATTCCGACAAATATTTCCGATAAAATATAGCCCTTCCAAGTTTGTTGATAAAAAAAAAAAAAAAATGATTATGGGTCAATACAAAGTAAGTAGGTACCTGCCTTAATATCATAGATTATATAGAGATGCCCTATCAGAATAAGTTTTATGAATTATGTGAAGCAAAACATGTCAGATTTGGTTTCCAATAACTAACAACGCAACTGATAGATAGCGCTAATTTTCAACTTTTCGTAAATCCCACCAATTTAATATTTTGAATATGTTATAATACTTTCTACTCAGAAACTATTTTAAGAACAAACCTAAGATGGTGGTGTATTACAATAATTTAAGTATTGATAGTACTGATAATTACTACCAAAAATTACTACCCTCAAATAACATATTATAATAGTATTTACTATTATAGTATTATTTATACGTATATACTATTATATTATATACGTATTATTTACATAATTATACAATAAAGTATACTTGTTAAAAATGGTAAGCTGTATTTTCTGCGGTAGATCCTACAACGCAAATTCAAATAAAAAGAATATAACTTTTCACAGGTATGTAGGAATATTTTATTTTATTTAGGTTAACTATGTAAGTTGTATTAATTTAAAATACAATTATATACTATTTTATTACTGTTTTAAATGTAAGAGTGCCAAGAAAAGCTAGTATTTCAACACTATGGTTGAATTTTGGACAAAAAGAACACGGTTTTATTCAGTCCAAGTTTAACAAAAGTAGTCTTGTGTGTTCACTACATTTTGAAAAACATTTGTTCAACGTGTACAACAAATCGGTTCGTTTGAAAGAAAACTCTGTTCATCATTGTAGTACACCGAGTAAAACATGTAAGTAGTCTATAATATGAGTATTCAAATTTTTTTTGTAAAAAACTGATTCTATGATTTACATATAATTAATAAATTATATTATTGCTGGTTTTAGTGGTGATTAACTGTTTAATGTTTATACATATTAATATATTGTGAATGTTTCTTAGCAAAAGATGATTATCCTGAGATGTTGTATAATAACAAAACAACAGACAAGGTAAATAATTAGTATTAAGATAAAAGTTTAAGCTAATTAAAAATATTATTTTTTTAAAAAATTACTATTTAAAAAAACCATTGTAACAAACATAGCTTATTCCAGTTATTTTGAAAATTAAAATGTTAAGTTCTTACAAAAAATAAAATAAACTTGAATTCATATTTAACATGTATTTAATAATTTTGAATAATCCAACTCATAGATTATATAAATACATTGTGCAGGGTAATTAATTAATATAAAAATAATATTATTTTATATTTATATTATTCAAAACATGTAGGTACTTACCAATTTTATATTATTTTGTTTGCTTATTTTATAGGATTTATCTTCATCACATATTGAAGGAATAAACGAGTTGCCAAATTCCAATAAATGTACACCAGTAAAGAATGAAGAATTCATTTTAAAAAAAGCATTCTAAGTAAGTCATACCTTGAAAATACTACAGTATATGAAAATGATACACCAAAACGTTTATATTTAAAGTGTATAGCAAGAACATTATGTCATGAAAATATTATTCAAAAGATGTAGGTACCAATTTTATAATATTTTGTTTGCTTATTTTATAGGATTTATCTTCATCACATATTGAAGGAATAAACAAGTTACCAAATTCCAATAAATGTACACCAGTAAAGAATGAAGAATTCATTTTAAAAAATCATTCTTATAAGTAATACCTGAAAATACTTGAGTAGATGAAAATGATACACCAAGCGTTTATATTTAAAGCTACAGTTAGAACATTATGTCATGAAATATAATTAGCAAAGGAAGATCAAGCTCTTAATCAGTCCAATTAGAAGACAAAAAAAAAGAATAGTAAGTATAAAAAAATTATAGGTACACTGACCAAAATAATTTATTACAGCAAGATGACAGGTAATGTATTATTTGATTCTTTTGGTAAAAAATAAAGAATTAATACACGGTTAGATAAAAAATATAACAATAAAGAAATGACACGAAAATATAGTTCTGACTTGAGACGATTTTCTATATCATTACACTTTTTTTCGCCTCGTGCATACTCATTTATAAGAGAACAATTTAACTCAGTTTTACCCCATCCACAAACACTCTCTAAGTGGTATGCAAGTGTTAATGCTAAACCAGGCATCTGTAAAGAAGCATTAAATAGATTGAAGTTAAAATGTGATAATACAGCTAACCCCGTTTACTGTGCATTGATTATGGACGAAGTAGCAATAAGAAAACATGTCGAATGGGACGGTTATAAATACCATGGATATGTAGACTTTGGTGCACAATTAAATAATGAAAGCTTAGAAATTGCAACAGAATGTCTGGTTTTTTTATTAGTTTCTATAACTGAATCATGGAAGTTACCTGTTGCTTATTTTTTATGTGATCATTTATCAAGTATGCAAAAAGGTAATCTTGTTGAACAATGCTTAGAGCAAATTCATTCAACTGGTATTAAAGTCGTTAGTCTTACATTTATGATGGCTGTCCTTCAAACATGACAATGGTCAAAAACTTTGGTTGAGATCTAAGAATATCTAGCTTAAAGACTAATTTTACATTACCAAATCATTTACCAATTAATATAATACAAAATCCTGCTCACATGATCAAACTAACCAGAAACACATTGGGGAAAAAGAGTTTTTATTGATTTGAAGGAAAAAAAATAGATTTTGTTTTTATTGAAAAACTTTTAATACTTCAAAAAACAGAACATTTTCATTTGGCCAACAAGTTAAAAAATCAGCATGTCTTTTTTTCAAAAATGAAAATGAAAGCAAAATTGGCTACTCAACTTTTAAGTAAATCAGTTGCTGATGCATTATTTTCCTTTAAGAACAATTTGAATTTAAAAGATTTTGAAGATTGTGATGGTACTATACGTTTTATAAGAATTATTAACGACGTTTTTGATGTACTTAATTCAAGGAATGTCAAGTCTACTGTCAAAAAAAAAAGCGCTTTGTAAATTAAACTATTGTGAAATTGAAGATTTAAAAAATAATATTTTTTCATATTTCGAAGGTTTAAAATATCCAAATGGAGAACTTCTTTTAAATTCACAAAGAAAAACTGGTTTTTTGGGTTCTCTAATATTCTTTAATAGCTTAATAAATTTAAAAACACAGTTGATAGATAATAACTGTATTGAAAGTTTACCAATGTACAGATCGAGTCAAGACCATCTAGAAATTTTTTTCGGGTCTACAAGATCTCTTGGTGGTTGTAACAACAACCCAACTGCTAGACAATTTAAAAGTGCATTTAAAAAAATTTTAATAAGGTCTGAAGTTCGTGACAGTGCTTTGGGAAATTGTATTCCTGTTGAGAATATCATTATTTTAAATTGTGTTTCTACTTTTCAGAAGAATCCCATAGATATAATAAATGGATACAAACATTTAATGGAATATATTATGATGAACATTTAAAACCTGAAACTAATGATGATATTAATATTTTAGATCATGATTACCTATTTATATACAAATAATCACTTCAATTTCAATCAATTTGTTAATGAGTGTGTTATTTATATTTCTGGGTTTGTTGTAAAAAAGTTACTGTTCATGCTGCTGGCGTCAGCATTTCTGTCATTATATCTACAACAGCGACACGGTACAGCACGCACAATGGGCAACTCTTATATCCCCGCTTCCCGTCTCTTCCTATTCATTACATACTCGATCCACTCCATAAAAAAATGTATTTATAATGTCTTTGCCGCAATCATGTAAACACCGCCATATTGTTTTATATTTTTTTTATTCTCTAGTTTTTTTACGTTGTGTCAACATAACCAACAGAAATCGTAATATTATAATACGTAGTACTGTGTGGTGTGTACTGGCGACGCTCGCTATTACAGCAGCTCCCGATCTTTTTTATTATTAATTGTGTACATACACGTTCTATCTTTTCTCATTGTTGTCATCAGTCAAATGACACAATAATCTTTGTAACCTTATCTGATTTCGCGGAGACTGAGTCTGCAGATCATTTACATAACGGATATCAATAAATCATAATATTTCGCTCAAAATCGGTGAGTACTTATTCATTTGGTTCCTTTTGTAATATCTACCTCTTTGTTAGAGAATCCGAACTGACTATCGCCAATAAGAATCGAACGTACGGTGATCATTACACTATCACCCGCGTTATTCTTGGCATCACTCGTCACTTGAGTAAGCCCGCCAGCAATCATTGTGTGTTGTGTGAGTGGCCGCCCAGGTCGTCCAGATGCAATACGCTGTGGATCGACCAATCTTATACCTCCACCTCAGTCATTGATGCGTGGACATTCTGGGGCATCAGTGGATATCGTGACAACTGCATATACTTCCGTAGCATAAGTTAGTTGTAAGATTATCTCCACCTGTTGTGAGCTCTGTGGTCATTGCACCAGACCGATCCGAGCACAGAGAGACCCCGCTTATACGTAAATTGCATAATCCTATTTCCCATTGTATAACCTGTATCCTTCACACCTTCGCGTTTCGGTGCGTTCTGGTTCCTTGCTGTCCATCGTCGCGTCATTGCCAGCCACCATCAATCCGTTTAGCTGTGTGTTGGATTACATATATCTTGGGAGTAGGCGTCGTCGTCTTGTCACCTCTAACAACGTTAATCGTACATGCAACTTTGGTTGCCTATCCTTGACGCCGTCAATCTGTTCGGTAGATACAATCGCTACAAATTTATTCTATCGAGCTGGTCCTTCAAATCATCAAAATACCCTACAGTTACTTATACAAATAAAGTGTGAAATGTGTGCTACTGCACTGGTAGGATCTAAACAATGTCATTTAAACTCTCTAATAGCTCTTAAAGATCGTGGAGAAAAATTATATTACCCTTCTGATGATGTTATTATTATATGTTTAAAAACAGAAAATAAAATGAAACAATTTCCAGATCATACTAAACTTCAAATTATTAACAAATCTTTTACAACTAATACCCCTTTTAAAACTTTATTAAATCATCAATATGACAATGAGCAATTATCTAGTCACCTTATTCTTTTAATAAAATCAGTAATTTCTGTTTATTGTGATATAAAAATAAAATATAATTGTAAAAAAACAAGTGAACATTTATCTTTAAGGCACTGGTACAATAAGATGATTTTGTTTAAAGGGCAATAATATTATGTATTGATTATCATTACTACTATAATTTTATTATTTGTTCTACCTATATAAATTTATTATTTAATATACATTTATGTGCATTATTATTATTTATCTATATTTTATTAGTATTATTTGTAGTAGGTATCCAACTAGTTTATTAATAATAATGAGTAATATAATTAAATTACAATAAATATTGTATTATAGTTCATATACAATAAAATATTTTCTATAGTTTGCCTACACTGTTTTGTTTCCATTTCCGCTTCATATTATTTCAATTAGGGCGCCTCTATATACTCTATGCTTAATATAAAATAACTAAATACCTATGTAAGTACATAAAATATTTAAATTATTCTATGTTGTGTCTATTTAAATACAATACTGTTTACTATAAGTTATAACCTACAGAAAAGTTAACTAGTAAGAGTATTGTAATTTATAGCATATTGACATAATATTAAATGATTAGTTATACTATACCATGTTACAAATATGTATTGTTGTATTTTATTTTAAGTCTAAAATATGTTAAAATATTTAAAAAATAAAACTGATTATTATAATCATAAATTAGATTTAAAATAATTAGCTAGTAATTTTGTCTTATTTAATAAATATACTTAAAAGGATCTACATACATATTGTTATGTATATAATATTATATTATAACAGAGTATTTAACTAACAAGCCCGATATTATTTTCTAAACATAATCAAATTTGGTTTTTAAAAAACCTTGAATATTCTTATAAACTATTTCGTTACATAAATTATAATATTCTAATTGATGATGATAAAAAAAAAAATATTAAATATTTTCCAATTTACTACACACATATAAGCTTTTACTGCTTTAAGTGATTTAAAATAATTATAAAAGTTACCTTACAGCTCACAAAGTAAGTGGTAAAGTGGTATATAAAAGTAGGGGGGATTTTGGGTGTTACAACCCCCACAGGTTTTTTTTGTTATAGAAATCTGTCAAAGCCCAAAAGTAACAGTTGAATTAATAAGTGTGTTTACTGAAATCAGGTGTATTTTAGGCTATGAAGTATATATTATTATATTTTATATAAAAGATGCTAGTGTTACAATGTTAGTTACCATACTCCTCTGAAACGGCTTGACCGATTTTTATGAAATTTTAAAATTATGCATATTCAGTAAGTCTGAGAATCGGCTACTATCTAATTTGCATACCCCTAAGTGGTAAGGGTTGTTCAGAAAAAAATAAAATAAAAATAATAATAGTGTATTATAATATATTGGTCGATATAGGACATATTTGTTGATTTGTATTATTATTATACTATGAATGTTTGTGTGTAGATTCGACATCTGGGAAGAAGATAGACTAATTGAAAAAGGGTTAAATTTGGTTTTTTTTATTCATCTGATTTTAGTACGGTTAGGATTTTGTATTAATTGATTATATTAATCCACCGTAGGTGGAATTAAGTAAAAACGACAAACTTGGTATAATTTAGAGTTAAATCATACATTTACATACAAACAGCACGGGGTCCGCGATCTACCGCAGGATTATCATAGATTGCCTACCTGATAATATACTGCTGCGAATCTGAACTTTTATTCCAGGCAACAGAAAAGTTAAGATAAATCTAGAACATCATACACCGAATATTAAATTACGCATTGAACAAAGTTTGAGTCGCATACAATTTGTACATTCAACAGGTAACGATGTGCACGGGATCAGCTAGTATTATAATATTATTATAGTATTTTACGTAAATACTAAATAGTTGTTCAGTCTTATGGTCTTTTCAATTTATTTGTATTATCGCAATGGTAAGAAGTGTGATATGGCTTAAATAATAATAACGGCATATTGAGGAGCCACCGCATAGAGTAATAAAACTCTGCCATCGTGACACGGTTTAAAATTACGCCGCCGGGCCCCGACTATAATAGGGTGCGGCCCATCCGGCGATTGAGATTCGGGCATTCCAAAACATGAGACCGCACTGGTGGCCGGCTGTCCGCAAGGTGCAAAGATCGTTTTCGGAGCACACCACCCCACCGCGAACGCCGTTCGCAGAAATGTCCAACGGGCGGCGAACACCCGCCAACTAACATCGCCGTTGCGCAGAGCGGTTTGTGTTGATCAGTGTTAGTGAGTCCGTTATTATTATTCTAATATTTTCATGCGACGCGACAACAACAACAATAATAATAATAATATTTTATTTGTCGATGTCGCCGCCGCCGCCGCGTCCCTGATAACAGCATAGATTACATTCGTGATTCGTCTCAATATTGTTGTTGCCTTCAGCCTTGTACGCGCAGAAACCCGAGGATTATCTGCTGATAATAGATAATATTATATTGTT